CTTCCTTTCCGCTTTGTGCTCAGCATTTCATATAGCTTTAATATAAGTATGGAAATTTTTTGCGAAACAGTTGCATTTTATTTGCGTGGCAGATTAGTTTTGCGATTATGCTAATCCCTCCCAGGTCTAACGAGGAAGGTCAGATTCGGCGGAGATCAACGCGCCCATATCTCACGGTTGCGTTGTTACTACACGCAACGTTATGGTATACAAAACACCATCGAACAATCACCGGGTAGAAATGTACATGCGCGAGCATACTCTTGGTCTTGCGCACATAATCGAACAACTGAAATGTTGAAATGTTGAAAAACAGACACATTGTACATATTACCTACACTCAATATATATTAAATGCGATGTGAAATCGAAGAAGTATTGATATGTTATCAGCTAAGCAAATAATTTCAAATTTTTTGGAACAAAACAAGGAAAATACTTGTCGAGTCATTTAAATTAAATAAATCCAAGTCAAATGAGATTACGGGTCGAGATCGATCGGACAAAAGATGTTTAAAGATGGTTAAAGATGATGTTGCTGGTATGCACATTCGAAACAAATTTTTGGCGTATGTGAATACGAGTTGAACAGTTGATTTCAAAGAAACTTCTCGTCATCGCACATCACTTTCGAGCGATCGCGTCTGAAAAAGCTGCGATTACTAATTTCCATTCTGTAACTCGTAAGCTTTCGTGTTTCTCGTTATAAATATATTAAAGCGGAAAGTGTCTGTCCGCCCTTCTCCTTTAATGAATTATTAATCATCTTTCCTCGTTTTTACTTCTCAAATCACAGTCTCCGGAAACTTGAGAAATGTCAGAGCGGAATTCTTTCAACGGTGGTATTGTCGGTGATACTTTCTGATATCATCATTTCTAATCTGAGCAGCACTTCGGCGCATTTCATCCGACCGACTCCCTTCGCCCTCTCTCGACTCTCCACGACTCTCTCGGAGACCGCGATCTCGGCAGTCGCGTCCGTGCGCTCGACGGCGACGCGTCGTGTCACGTCACACGAGAGATCGGGTCCATCTGTTTCCGTACAGGTGGAGGTAAAAGTGGAGGAGGAAGAGGAGGAGGAGGAGGAGGAGGGAAAAAGAGTCGTCGGACCTGGACTCGCGGCCGCGAGATGCGCGGAAAGCACGGACAACGCCTCGCCGGAACGACGGCCAAGTTCGATACGTATGGTCGACGCGTTTAGAAAGTTCACGGCGGCATGCGTCATGGCCCTCTCGGACGCTTCGTTCCCTCCCGCCTCTCTCGTTTCTTTCCACGTGAAGGGGAAACGTCTTTCCATCCGCCGTATTTACGCTACGATGGTCGGTGATGGTGATTTGCGGGGCGCGATGCGGCGTGATTCAATTAGGGAAGTTAGCCCGCATCGCGCCCCGCGACGAGACGCGGCGAGATAAGGGCAGGATCAGGATAGGCGATTTTTCTCGCGCGAGAAAGTGTACCTTTCTTTAAACTGTACAATTGACGAGAACTCGAGGAGTATCGACGACTCTCTCTCTCTCTCTTTTTCGCGATATTTAATCCGCAAAATTTAACCGATTTAAAATTAACAAATTCACGTACAAAAAGCTCTCGCAGAAATTTATAAATATTTTTGAAAGTAACGTCTGCAAAAAATTTAGTGATATACTTTTAAATTTATTTTGTTTAATTTATTTATTTAAAATTGAAAAGAAATTTTTGCCATTGTTTTTACATTGGAAAAGTGCCATGATATCTTGCGCAACGTACGTATTGAAACGGAGTGGAAATTATTACCTCTAGGCAATTCTATTGAGAACTGACTGAACGCTCTCTCATCGAAGAAAAACTCGATTAGATCATTGTTACTGTAGGATGAACAAGTTGTAATATGAGTAAAAGAACGAGAATTATTGAGAGAGTTGGTAACTAAATAGATCATTATTACGTAATGCAAAATGAATGAGAGAGGAAAAGAAAATGAGAATTATTGAAGTAATGCAAACCGGAGCTTGAATAGACTAATGTCTGTATTTTCTGCCTGAAAGTTCTGCCGTGAATTTTTTAAAGAAAATATCAGGTTTTCGAGAACGCGCGCGTCTAAGGAACGAGAAAATAAGGTGGTCCCTTATTTATTCGTCTGATCCCTTAGGATTTCTGCCGAGAGGCCGAATCGTGACGAATTTTTCCTGTCGAGAACGAAACAGCTGAATTTAGCCCTCGACAACTATGTCTTAGATCCACGGGATAAAAAAGATGTTCCTGAAATGGAGCATTAAATTGAGCATTAAATTTGGCAACATTTTATTCATATTTTAAAAATTAATATTCATACATAAATTGTATATATAATTTATTAAATATAATAAAAAAAGTATAAACTTTGTAAATTCGAGTTAGAAGGGGACGTGTCTTTACCTGGTTAGCCCTTATCGTCACATTTCTCGGGCTGCACAGTTTAAATCTTGAACGAAGGCCGACGTGACCTCGCCCAGGTCACGATCAAGGACGCACATGTCACGGCTCCGTCGAGTTGGTCGAAAATCATCGGGAGCTACTTGGCTCGATTTCGTTCACTTTGCAACGCACCAATGCTCGAATTTCCGCTCGAGCGGCTAGTCGGGTTGATGGCTCTCCAATATGCACTGTTATTATCTTTTGTAACTGTCAATTTCTCTCTGTAATTTGCGATGTTGTAAATTGTAAATTATTCTAAAAAAAGATTTTTTTTTTAATCGAAAAAGACATCTTTAATTTATTTAATCTACGTGAATAGTTGTAAAGTTTTCTGTGATGTGATATTTTTGTACAATTTTATTTCTTGTTTTTTAAGATATTATTCAAATGTTTCTTTAGAGAGAAAACTTTTGTAAATCGTAAAAGGAAAATGGGGGGGGGGGATCGTATGCATTGCTTTAATCTCAGAAAATGTAAATCTCTTTCGACTTTTGTTATATGTGTGTTATGAGAGTTCCGTTCAGCGCAAAGTTCGCGTTTCACATTTGCACCGATAACTCGCGACAGGAAATAACATTCGCGGAAACAATGTGGACTTTTGTGCCAATAAAACGAGTGCTCGTGAAAAAAACGAAGGCAAAGTGTAAAACGAGCCATTCCGTCAGAATGAAACACGCGAACGTATATTTGCACTACGTTCTTCAATTTACGTTTCGATAAGCTTCTATATTATATCGGTAAAATTTATTGTACTTATATTGCATCTCATTTAAATTTTTATACCGCATTTTATTCTTCATCACGTTTACGTTTTATATCACTCGATATACGTATCGCCAGTAAGCCAGATTCACCCGATAATTCTCTACATTCAACGTTCAACATTAACGGGATCGCGATACCAAAGTTTAAAGCACGATAGCCGCGAATTCTGCACGTTTGCGGAATACGAGCGTAATTCTAACATGCGCGAAAAGTTAGTTGAGGCACGAATTCGCCACCAACTCTCTCTCTCCGCCCTCGCTCGAGATACTCGTCACGAGAGATCATCGATCATCGATTCTATCTTGGCTAATCGGAGTCGCTAATCTCCTGGCTTTCGATTACATTTTTCCTCGCGGCATTATTACGCACGTGTACGCGATAACCCAATTCCTGAAAGACACCAAAGCGACAAACCTGGCATCGCGCCAGCGGCGCGTACCGCCCGGATTTTCTGGACAGATCGTCCCGTCGAGGAGAGACGCTGAGAGAGTACGTAGAGGAGAGAGAACGCGAGAGAGAGAGAGAGAGAGAGAGAGAGAGAGAGAGAGAGAGAGAGAGAGGAGGAGGAGAGGGAAGGG